AGAAGGATTTTCTTTCATATGTTTACTGGGATCACCAGCGACCAAGCGGTAAAGTCGCTGAACACTGGTAGTTCGGTCCGAGGTTCGAATCCCGCGAACGGGCTGGCTGCATGGGTGTTTTCGTGGTTTTCCCCATGTGTAACGTGTATACGAGCCATTTTCCCTTAGAAAGTCCTCCACGAAGGCATCCCTCTCTTAGGCAGATAGCCCTCGAGGCTTTGCCATAATCACACACACACATATGTTTACTGACTTACGATAAATACCAATAGTTTGCGAATCTTTCTGATAAAAAGGTGCTAAGACCATTAGCTTGCATCCGATTAATAACTTTTACCTTTTCATCTGTAATATCTCTAAATTAAGCCAAGGTGGTTGTTTTAATGTGAAAGTATCCAAATATCTCTACATTTGTAAGCTTTATACACCGTTAACTGTCTTTACGTCCAAAAGTAAAAGTACATAAGCCACAGTGCTCTTGAAAAAGTAACTAGGATCTGTAATAACCAACAATTCCTTTCTCCTTCCTGATTCTTTTCCATTGCTTCCCAAATGCTTCCATCACCTTTATGTGTGTTTTTATGTGAGCGTATTTTGTAATCACTTTCACCCATTCTGTTTCGAGCAAAAAAGTGCTTTTCTTTTGAAAGTATATTAGGTACTGTTGTGCATCATCTTGAGTCGCACCTAGCTGATGTAGAAAGTGAAAATCTTTCTGAAGCTATACTAGGAGCAATTATAGAAACGATATGCAAAGATGGTCACAGTGACAAAATGTATGCAAGGGATAAATGTGAGTATGGTTTTGTTTCCTTTTACTTTTATGACATTTCAATTTATTTCCGTATATTTTCAAATTGGCAGTCCCCCCCCCTCCTCGAAATTTGTGTTTGATGGTTTTCTTCCTGGGTGACCACTTTAAGAAGTATCGTTTAATTTAATTTCAGTAATTTACTTAAATTTTGCAATTGTTTCACATCAAAAACCTTTAACTTGATCACCAGCAACCATTAATTCTTAAATCATCAATGGACTACAGTTTCAATAACCGATTTAGTTTTTTTGATTTAATTATCAATCTACAGGTAAATTCGCTGTCTCGATGGCCGGTAGCTGTCAACCGCTGAGACTAAAGATCTTGACAGTCATCTTCGGTTAAATTTTATTTTAATAATGTTAACAAATATTTATTATAATGTTATAATTTTAAATATATTCTACTTGTAACATACTCCATTGATAGCTTCTATATTCATTTAAAATAGCATTGAAATTAATAAAAGTTATTATAATATCATTGTAAAAATTGTAATGCGGTAATATGAGTATATAAGTTTCGCTTACCTCAGGCAGAAGAACTTAGGAGTCCTTAATGGCGTCTATTTGCCGTGAGGCTACGTACGCCTTTGTTAAGCTCACTACGCTTGGTCGTATTGAACGTGCCTACTCCTATTCGCCGGTGAATTTAATTAAGAGCCGACTACGTCAGATAGTTGTGTACAGCTTTGGCTAAGTCAGTTTAGTTTAGCACTAGATTAGTTTCTTATATTTTCTCTTTTAATTTAAACCCGAAGTGGAGGCTTTCCTGTAAGCCCGAGAGGGCGCTGACTGTCATTATTTCTTTCAGTGAATAAAAGAGTACTTTAACCCTTCTCTGGACTTAAACACTCTTGGTTTACACTCTTGGTCTAAAACGTTTACACTCTTGGTCTAAAACGTAAGTTGCTCCATAGTCCAATAAGTTCATTACTTTCAGCATAGACAAAGTAATTAGGAACATTACATTAGCGCCGGAACTAAAAGTGATGGATGATTATTCTTCACCCACCAGGAGTTGGCGACTGGGTCCCCTAATCCCCGGTCGCCCTTGAAAACTGGGAGTATGCAAGATATTTTCTCCTTCCCTTCTGCATGCCTTCGTACTGTAATTAGAAGCATACTCTACGCGTATTGGAGAGTTCCAGGTTCGAGTCCATTTTTCACATCTCTTGCTTCTAAATAAAATAATGACTCTACAAAATCTTTAAATGTTTGAAAACTTGTTAAAATGGTATAAAAATTCGTTATATCTAGATGTTTTCTACTTATTTCTCATTCAAGTAGCTATAAACATTTGTCAAACCAAGGACATAATTACGATTTCATTTATTGAAACGACATTCGATTGTCTTTGTGGATATGTTAGCAAACTAGGATCACAGTATAATTATGTAATTTCTGTGAAGATTAAGTATAAGTTCAGTAGTGATAAAGGCTTAAAATTAAGCTGAGCCCACACCGAGAGTTAAAGCGAGGTGTGCTGGACTGATTTGCTAACCGTAGCACAGTAGCAGAACGGGAGTTACGGTAAACCTTTGCAGAACGCTGATTTGGGAAAAGCTATTTTGCTTATAAGCGTTATCCTAATTTGTTCCAATTAATTTGTCTATTGCGACAATTGCAATTATATGGGGTACGCTGCACAGTTTCGGCAGCGCTGCGATAGTCCTCTTTAAAGACAGGTTTAAAAATTCATTTATTAAAGAAGTCAAACAGTGCTTAGAACACAAAACCTCAGATTTAAATTTCTCCTAACTTTCAATAATGCTCCAGCACACGGGGCGGAAGCCCTCACAACATTACCTGTAAACCTAGAATTTTTATTCCTTCATGAATCCAAACAATGGATCAAGGAATTATGAAAACATTCAAAGTCTATTATGTCAGGCAGGTTTACATTTCTGCATATAAAGTACTAGAATGAAGGAAAGCACACAACAATAATGGCATTTTGGAAGCACTTCAACATGAGACACCGCATAGAAAGGATTCCATCCACATGAGAACAAGTGCATTCCCCAACAATGAATGTTTTTTGGCATCAACGCTGGCCAGAATTTGTCAATAATTTTAAAGGATCTCCATCGACTGAGCGAAGCAAATCGCACAAACTGAAAAAGCAATAAGCGACGAAGGACTTTCTTATGTGGAGGAAGAAGAAATCAAATAATTAGTCAAAAATAATGATAGTGAAATGACAAAGAAAGAATTGAATGGTCATAAAACACCAGCAACAACAGTGAAAGAGATAAAGAATCTTCAATGTGCAAAAAATTAAACAAATTGTTAAAAAAAAAGGTACTGGCACTGTCTGATTCTGTAATGGAGATTGAAGCCAAATGAAGAAAGAAGAGGATACCTTCTGATGGGCATTGAAACACTTCTCACTCCTTAATATGAAATTTAATGAGTTGCATCAGACATAGCCCTAAGCAAAAAAAAATCATTTTTCCTTTTTAATTTCGATAATATTTAAATTTGACTAAATTATACTTGCTTTCTTAATCTAAATATACCTAACCCATTTTTTCATAGAAAGTTAACTTTGCGGAATGTGATTTTATTGAACGCGCTGTGTTTTTATAACGTCACCGTCATATGCTGCAGGGATTTGGCTGTATAGCACAATCGCTTCCATCACTGACTGAGCTAAAGGGCGACAGTTGAGAAACGATCCTAAGTCTAACAGTTAGACCAATTAATGGTATTCAGTTTGATAATTAAGATCATTCTACCTTCTATGATTTGTTCCCGCCAGGATGCAAATCGTAATGTCGTGTCTATAAATTCTATTCAAATAGTGCCATGGGCGAAGATGACTGCCTTAGCAATCTGCAAAATGTTATTGTCGTAGAGGTTCGATCACCTAAACAAGACCCCGATTTTTAACAATTCAGCAAGGATTGGCGAACAATCAAAATATGTGCAGTTGTCAGTTCTGTACCCGGACAGTTATCACAATTTCTATAGGTTTTCTTACCCTCTCTGTTAATTTCAAATCCACTTTGATGGCCAGTTCTAAACCTGATTATGCTTTTAGTTCAAAGTCTGTCTCCATTGAGGCTATGGAGTGGTGCTTTGTTCGAATTTTATGTTCCCTCAATCTGTATTTGGCTATGGCATTTGCATCAGACAGGATGACAGTTACATTATTATTATTGTCGAGATTTCGAGTTTCTTTTGCCAGTCAATCTGCGTTCTCATTACTGGTGATATTGATATGTGCTGGCAACCATTGAAGAATGCACACCTTATCTAACTTTTCAAGCTCATTTAGGCGAAGGTGGATCCCGTTGGTGAAATGGGAGCTTCCGTCCGGGATTGCCTGAACAGCTGCCTTTGAGTCATAGAAGACAATGAGTCCTTTCTTTGCTCAGAAATGATAAGGGCTCTATATGCGCTTGTGCGCTTCTGGCAATAGCTCCTCCGCTATTGCCAGAAGCGCACAAGTTGAATTACAGATTATGAGTCCAGTATCAAATTTGCGTCGATACGTATTATCGCCTGGAGTAGTCAGAACCCCCCCCAGAACCTTCATTTGTGATTATCTCATTAGAATGAACCATCTGCATAAGCGTGTACAAAAGTCCTTCATTGTATACTATTCCCAATGATGGGGATCCCTTTCAATTTCATGATATCAATCAATTCTTTTTTATTGCATGGCTCTTAGAAAACGGAAAATTTCGTGTAATCGAAGTTTAGAAATGCTTTAATATCTTTGTTTAATATCAAGTTACTTAATGTATATAAAAACAGAATTCTTGATTTTAGCTGAGAGTTTTTGGCATTTCTTGCTGACCATCTTACGTTTATTTTCTCACAGCTTCTAGAACAGATTTTAATCGGCTTTAAACTTTGTTAGCCGTGTTTTGTCGATTGATTCGAAAACCTGAAGTAAAATGTATAGCTGGATTTTGTGAATATAATATTTTAATACTTAAATTTCACTTTATCCTTTGTGTTATGTTAAGTCCGCAAATAACGATGATCTTTCTAAGATTATACGAACTGCATAATCTAATCTGTTAAGCCCGAAGATCTAATAGAATGGTTTGTTTTAAATTTTTTTCTGACTTAATGTTATTTTTGCTATTTATTAGGATTTCTTTCTTTATTGTAGTTTATACATATTTTGACTTCAGAAGGAATACGAAACTGTAGAAATAAAGAAACAAACATAGAGAACAAAACTGAATTTATTTCAACAACTTATAACTTGAGTAATTCTACTTGCTTCACACAAGCGATTTTGTGTAATGCAGAAAGCATTTTAAAACACTGCAGTTTCTTTTAAAAAATAAATATACAAGTTTTAACATAAGCAGTTTAATGAAAATTCAGACACAATGAAGTCTTACTTTAAATACTAATTTCATTTTTCTTGTTGCAATTATAGAAGTTCATGTATAATTGCTGAATTGAAAACAGATAAAACTCAATATGGAGAAGGACACAGGCACAAATGGTTACTCTGCTTCCAGTCTTCATAATATTTTAGGTAAATATATTTACAATTGTTTGTTTATAAGAATTTAACAAAAAATTGTCTGTAAGATGAAAATATGCTCTTAGCAATATATGAATATTTAGTTTTCTTAAAGTAATCATCCAAAAATTTAAAAATTTTAGGTTGTCGGATGATGGATTTTATAGGTTCTTCTTTTGTCCTGATTTACAATATTACTTTATGTCAGTCAATCAGACTGTGATCGTATATTTTTGGAAGTGACATATTGTACAGCCTCGGTAGTTAGAAATGGACGAAACTTGTTTGATCATATATCATGCAAATTTCTTAAAATTTATAAATGGATATTTTAGTTTTTATATCTCTAAGTTTTCTGGTTGTAAGTGTTCTAACTGTTTCTGGTTGAAGATTTTTCTTTTGGTTTCTTTTATTTATTTTTTTAATTCAATCTGTGTTTGTATTTGGACAAACCTATTTAATGAGCATATTACTTCTATTGTCACATCTAAATGGAAAAAGAACTGTGCTTTTATCTTAGAGACAATTTAACAAAAACGATTATTCAATTTTACGATTATTGAACCTAAAAAATTCTTTTATTTAAAAATAATCCCAGGCAGCAGGAATTGAAAATACATATAAATTCTCAGGAATGAAAATGTATAATAAATTTTCATCATCAAAAAATGTAGGTATGTTTTCAGGAACATCAGCTAACATAAAAAAGGCTGTTAAGAATAAGAGTGAAACATCAAGTTGCGTAAGCTGAGAGTTATGATCGTTTCTTTAGGTATTACACTTTTTCTCTGTTCATTTTATAAAAATATGTAATAAATTTCGATATTAATATCTGAAAAAAGCTTTTATTAAATTTAAATAAATAGCATAATGCCCAAGGCTAAATGGCTTCCATAAAATATCACTTGTTTAACATAATACGTTTTTAAAAAAAATGTATCGAACAAACCGATTGTGAGAATTCTATTCTCCTGGTGATTTCACATAATCGAGGCTCTACAGTATTATTGCCATATTAAATTTTTTATCTCTAAATATCTGATTGAAATATATATTTAAACTATTTACACATAAATCATGTTTTTTAATTATTTATGTTTCATTGAATGAAATGTGTGCCCTCCAGGGAATCCCATAGACCAAGCATCATAAGGAGTGCTTCGTTAGTTTACACCATGGTGAATCTGGGTGTTGCTGCTCCTCAAGTAACCCACGTTAGATGATATTAGGATAAGTCTGATGACAAGCAGCAGAGATCCTTTCTGTTAGGTGTCGCAAACCATCTGCAGATTAGTCTTCTCTCTGTGAACTTTTAAGTGTTTCACAGGTCCAGATATTAAGGGCAGACATGAAGCCATAAACCTGAAGTCAAAAGACGGATCCCTTTCTACAGTTAGTTAGTGGACAGTAATACCTCCTTACAGAATAAAATGCAGCAAATTTAAGAGTTCCACATATAAATCGTCTCGTAACACATAACACTAACCTCGTGGTAATGGGTCCAAGGTTTCCTGTATTTCCTACCACCTGTTCCAAAATTTATGTTTTCAAGATGATGCAGACAAATAGCATTTCTGCCTTAACTAATCAAGATGTCTGACAGTCTATATATGAAACTCAGAGGTATCAATTTTATCCGAATTCAAACCGAGTTTTATTTGAATTTCTTGTAGGCATTTATACATCCCTTAGACATTTACTCCTTGCTTTGTCTTGGCAACCGACGAACCATATGATGCTGAGACTTATGGGTGTCTTGTATACATACTGTCTTTCTTTCCCTCACCAAACTTTATAAAAATGATGAGATCCATTTTTTTCGTGAATCTAACTTTCAACTGTTAAGCAATATTTCGAGGAGGTATCAGATTTTGCTTAAGGTGCATGCGTTCAAAATATAGGAATGCAAAAACTTACAAGGTTATAGTTTAAGTTCTTGTGTCTTTTACTTCTACCTTTAATAGAAACAACCGTACTGTTTACAAGTTTAAAGGTAAAAGACAAACCCTTCATCGGGTGTTTTTTGAATGGATGAAGATTAAAGGATTTGATGGCAAATCCTATGCACATCATGTGAAGAGAAAATGAGTGTCTTATGAAATGCAGGTGACTGTTTTAGATGTAGGATTTGTGCGATCACTGTCATATGATTCTTTCCGGTTTTCTCAGTTGCGCCAGATTGTTCACTGAACTGTGAATGAGTTCATACATTATTTGAATAAAGATGAGGATGCGCATTTATCTGTTGGCACACACTATTTCATGGGATCGGCAACAATTTCTGATCATGTAGTTGTGTCTGCAGTAGCGGTCACCATATCTCTCTAAGAAATCTTGACAGGTCAGTCCTCCAGCCAGTTTGTCGACAGCGTCTTCGCAATCTGGAAAGTATATATAAAATAATAATTATGATGAAATAAAAGAAGCAAACAAACAAAAACAAGAAAGAAACTGCATCTTATTGAGCGATTCAAGAATATTAAACATGAAAAATAATGCTTGAAAGTTTTATCTCGAAATATCACGCTTTATTGCATAACGGAATTAAAAACCCTAAGTAGCTTTTAATACCTAATGAATATGTGAGAAGAATGAACATGAAATTTTAGATATGTCGATTAGTTGGATTCAAACATAGCGTAAAGCGTAGATGGATTTAGGATGTTTTTGATAAATGGAGGCTCTTAAAATTTGTTAATATAAGAGGTATTTCAAGAGATAGTGATGTGAGGTACGAGAATTCCTCTCCTGGATGGTTCCTAGTCAAAATCTGAGCGAGGATGGGCGTATCGTTACAAGATGAACTGAGAGACTGACTGGTGCACAGATTCACAAGGCCAGCACATCAATTTTAAGAGGGCCCCAAAATCCTTTCATAATTTTTCAAATATGCTATTTTCTCTGTCGTGAACAAAAAAAAAAAAAAGTAAGCAACAGAAGGTTGCAGAAATAGGGCTGTTTCTCAGACCCTAGAATGTCACAATAGAACCCTGAGTGAGTTGTGATTATATGAACTAAACTGGGTTGAGTTGAAATGCCATCATCCGTGCCTGAGGCTATACTTGACAACAGATAAACACTCTTACGCTTCAGATGATTCATTCGTAAATACTTACATTTGCAGGTACGGAGATTAGAAAAAGGAGACAACGCGCTGTTATTATTTTAAAATATAAAACTAATTTCGAAATGTAACTTGGTATGGTAGGCATATTTTCATAATGCAATGAGTGGTGTCATTGACAACAGTTTCGCTTTTACAAGCAGCACTAATGGCTTTTTCTATTTTACCATCTGCCTTTTTTAAATGCTAACAACGTTATAGTATGAGATAAGGTAAAGCATCGCGTGTGATAGGATCTACAAATTCGCGACGGGTGCGTAGGAGAATTTATATTATATGCACAGTAGAGCAACTAGGATTCTTCAGCTCAATTACCTGCTAAACATATTATTTTTATTAGGTTTGTTCCACTTCCTTGTCGCGTGCCTTCGAGATGTAATTAGAAGCAGCTGCGGGTAGCAATCGTGATATAGTGGAATTGGAATCCTAGCGACGGTACTGCACATTTTCCATCTTTCCTGCTTCGACAAATCCAGTGATTCTAGATGTTGAGAACTGGTTTAATGCAATAAGCTACGCTATCCATTGCTGTAAAATGAGTGTCTGAATTACTAAGTTATCTATGAGTGGTGACTAATGGCGCTGAGTGTGTAGCGCATATTCTGCATATATTTGAGAAACTGTCAAAAGGAAACCTAGAAAATACTGAGGCAGTTTTATGGCGATAATATATCTTGTTTGAAAGTCTTCTATCAATTTTGGCGTTCCAGTAACTTGGAGAAAATACAAAAAAAAAAAAAAAAAAGCAAATAAATAAGTACTAAATACACAGTTGTCTCCGAATTCTCCTTGCAGATACCAGTTAATAAAGAATACACCAGAGTCCTGCTACTTACTGTCACCACGGGTAACAAAGAAGTTACTGGGACTATGACACAGTGACTTAGGATGTGTCACATTTTCATCGAAGAAAAATTGAAAATGAAGTAACGCTATATGAATGGCAGGACAACTTAAGAGACCCTAAAACTGCTTGGAAGCTCTTTGCAATTTCTAATATAAAAGTATCATTTGGAACGCTCATGGACTCAGCATTATGAAAGAATGTGACTCAGCATTATATTTATAAAAATATAGGACTTACAGGATTCATTTCCCAAGTTTTTTTGGTCCTACAATGGATAATTAAAAAGATTTAAGATATCTTGTATTTCTTTCGATGTTAGACGGGGAAATGGAAATAAAGAGACATGGAAATCCCATACTCAGATATGCAAAGGTCACCAAAATGTCTGGCTAGTAGATAATTAAATCTGATTATTAGGCTTGTTTATTAGATCGTACATCAGCATGTACTAGAATATGGGAAGGCACCTATTACGTTTTGCATGGCTGTTAAATCTGTGAAAATACAACAGTAAGGGAGGAATATTGTTTAAATTCGAAAAGATTAGTAATAAAACGTACGAAATATTATGACATGCAAATAGTGGCGAAAGATTTAACGTCGTTTCGTGTTTTAATGATGGATGTATTTCACATACAGTAACACACAGGCGGTCGACAATGTATGATCTGTAAGCGAGTCCACTGCGGTTACAAGTGTCAATAATGCTAAGACGTAGAGTGAATGGTCACAATTAAGCAGGCTCCTGAATTTTCCTTGAGGCTGTGAGGGAGAAAAGACCAGATTTGAGCCAGAAATATTGATTTTGCAAGTTGCTGCTCCGGAATTGGCAGCACTGTCTGAACTCGATTGGATGACACTAGAATATCTTTCATGTAGGCTGAATCTAGAACAATGGGATTTTTTGCGAACTCTCAAGAGTCAAAAGGTAACAGAGCAGAAAGAGATTCTTTTCAGATAAGGAAGTAGTCCTTGAAGTGAGAACCTCGTCCTCAGTGCATGCCACAAACCATTCTATTTCAGAATTTTGAGCCGTTAATAAAAGATCGAGAAGAATGTAATTCAATGTAAAGGACTCTGCTTTAAAATACAGACAAATGTAGGGCATGTAGAGCAATCTGATTCTAAATTTTGAAAAGAAAATCTTAAAACTTTTCAGTTAGAATATGTACATTAGGAACAGTTCGTTTCGTTTCCGTTTTAATGGAAATGAGATGAGACCAAACAGAATTTTATCCTCAAGTCATCAGCCTTTTCATTTAACTCCTGAATACTAAAAATACATTGCTTATTTTAGGAAAGTGAACGATTTCAGAATCGCGCGTTTTTCTTAATTCTTCCACACTTTCGAAAGAAGGCAACAAATGAATAATTGAGAGTTCTCCAGTTATTAAGGAATTCATACATATACGAATTTTACCTTTTCCGGCTGAGGACTGGCTAGGAGCTGCTGTAGTTGTTTCTCTAGGAGGTGGATGTGCATTGTTCCTGTTGACAAACGATGGCCTATAAGGCCTTCTGGAAGTTCGACCACGAATTTTGTTTCCTACAGATACAGATGGTCTACTTGTTGTCGATTTGGAAATGTCCTTGTCAATGCGATTAGCGATAGATCTCGTTACATGCGTGTAGTCAGGTATGATGTTCTCATTGTCCACCACACATTTACCATTTTTGCATACCTGAAAAATTAATATGAAATATAATTGTGGCAGTATAGCTAAGCTCGAACTGAAAATGAAAGGGAGTGAAGCACTGTTTAAATGCTAAATAAACCACATAAGTGGTTACTATAAATATAAATTGTATAAATTGTATAGCTATTGCTAATTTAGATAGCAATTTTAACTGGGTGATTTCCGTCTAGACCTACACCCAATATACAGGGGTTGGACAAAAATATGGAAACACCTTTAAAAAGACATGTTTCTTTGCTTAATATGGTGTAGGAAACCCGTTGGCATCCAAAACAGCTTGCAGTCTTCTCGGAATGGATAAATACAGTTCCTGTATGTTTGCCAAGAGAATATTATACCATTCTTCCTGCAAAACGGTGGCAAGTTCAGATAACGACGTTGGCGGTGGATAACGAGAACGCACTTTCCGTTCCAATGTAGACCACAAAGGTTCGATAATATTCAGGTCTGGTGACTGTGGTGGCCAGGGGAGATGGGACAACTCATACTCGTGCTCAGAAAACCAGTCCTGGACAATGTGAGCTGTGTGAACAGGGGCTTTGTCGTCTTGGAAGACACCATCACCATCGGGGAACAAAGTTTGTACCATGGGATGAACGTGATCATCCAAAATGTTCACATAAGTCTTGGCAGTCATGTGCCCTGACACAGTTATCATGGGGCTAGCAGAGAACCACGATATGGCTGCCCAAACCATAACAGAACCCCCATTCATGTTTCACTCTTGGCAACAAGCAGTCTGTATTATAGGCTTGAGATGGCGTTCTCCAGACGTAAACTCGGCCAGAAGTGGGAAACAATGTGAAAGAAGACTCGTCAGACCATATTACTCGCTTCCACTGCTCTATAGTCCAGGCTTTATGACTTAAACACCACCTTTTCCTGTTACGGGCATTAGCATCACTGATGATGAGTGGCTTCTCAATTGCAGCACGGCCAGCAATTCCCTGTTTATGAAGCTCCCTTCTAATTGTTTTGGTACTCACAGGGTTCGGTAACACAACATTCATTTCAGCAGTAACTTTTGCAGCTGTGGTCTTCTTATTTTTCGTCACAATTGCCCTTAATGATCGTCTGTCACGATCATTCAGGACACACTTTCGTCCGCGCTGTGATTTATCAGATGATGTTTTTCCGCTTTTCAAATATGCGGAATAAATCTTCGATACAGTACCTCTTGAAACACTAAACACCTCGGCTACCTTGCTTACGGAAGCACCTACCATACGTGCTCCAACAATTTTCCCACGTTCGAAGTCTGTTAACTCTGACATAATGCAATGACAACCTCACATAACAGTACTCCGACAACAACTGAACTGTTTAGCACATTTACGAAGTTGTATAGGTGGCGTCAGTAGTCAAAAACGCCAGCACCACCTACATATTTCATTAAAATCAATCTTTCTTTTCAAACATGCATTTCACAAGGTGTTTCCATATTTTTGTCCATCCACTGTACTTGTCACCGGTATATGTGAAAACAAACTGGGAGTGATATATTACTCATGGTCAATAGACAAGCAAGGTTAGGCTCATCCTAAAACTGATGTCACTTACTTGTTGAAGTGGGAAAAAGGCACAAAGGGGGAGATTGCTTTTGAACAGACAAGGATCCAGTGACGTCACACAAGAGCAAAACCTTGTAGTACAGTAACCTTGATACTACTGACAATGTCTCTGGATCACCGCTAATATTAGTACTATTATTTCAAAGAAATTCTGATGGAAAGAAAAGCATTTCTTTCTAAATTGCTGAATTGAGACGCAATAAATGTTCACCTAGACTCTTAATTTTTTAAAAAATATATCATAAAATGAAAGGAGGGGACCCGCATTCAAGAGGGGTCTTATTTTAAAGTATATGCGCTAGCTGTATGTAAATTAGGTATACGTACTGTATACTCATTTGCCTTAAAATCATAGAGTTAACTTGGCTTAAAATTTTCATTCATTTATTAATGCTAAAATGGACTGTAAGGTGTTCTATATAAACCTTTTATAAATATAAGTTTAATATTAAAATGTATAATATTGTGGGACATTAGAAGGCGCAGCATAACTATGAATAAGGACCAAATAGTAAAATGGAAACCCAATTTCACATAATCCAAACATTTTATAGCCCCATCAGTGGTCGAGTTGTTATAACGGCTAACACTAGTAGTTGTATCCGCTTTGGCTTCGAACCCAGACGAACTGGCTAGCCGCATGGTTAGTTTTCGTGGCTTTGCCAGAGTAAAATATGAATATGAGCCAGTTTCCTTCAGAAAATCCTTTACGAAGGCATCTCTCTTCTTAGACAGATAGCCCTCATAGTTTTGCCATATTCAGATAACCTACCTAATTAAAAATTGCCTAAATATTTCTGTAACTCTCCTGGACTACAAATGAGTTATAGTCCCATCTTCAATTTTGATTCCAAAAATACTAAGTGAAAACAGTAAGAATACATAAAGTTTATTTGTTTTACAGTTGATAACTAAAACTCAGCTTCTTGCGGCTGAGAATACAATAATGCTTTAAATGTTTAAAATTTAAAACAATAGATTAAAGATTAAATAACTCAGCTCCTAATTTAAGAACGACTTCTAATTCCGTTACTAGCAAATATCAGAAAACCATCGGAAACTAGAACAGTTCACCAGTCAGGAAAAATACGAGAGATGTATAGGTAGATCCAAAAGTTTCCAGTTTTACATTTAAAAAATTGTTTGGGAATAAATTCCTCATACAGGCATGTAGTGGCAATACTAAAAGAATATATATGTAACTTTCGTTTGCGAAACCATCTGCGTTTCTTCCGTCTTATACCGTCGAAGGGAGAAAACTCCGATGAAGCACCACCAAGATAAGCAGAATCGTAACAATCAACAATAATAATTAATAATAATAATAACAATAATAATGGTTGGCACGTTCTGATATAGTCAAGGAGTTTTTATGACAGATTTTAGAGAACACAACTATAAGTGGGAAATATAACGCAAGTTTTCTGCATTCATTGCGCAACGAGATAAAAGAGAAAATGCAGAGAATACTAAGCTGTGGAATTTCGCTTCGCTATGATAAAGTCCCGTTCATTCAGCTACCATTGCTAAAGAGCTAGTAAAGAAATGTGGATTCTAAGAGCTTGACGATCCTTTCTGTAGTCCAAAGATGGTGTGAAAAGAGCAGTAAAACATGTTGTTGTTGCTAACGCTAAGTTGTCTGACCTATGGTCAGCCCAAGCCTACGAAATTCCTCCTGGCAAGGAGGGCAAGTTTAAGCTTGTCGTTGGCAACAGCCTTGAGCACAATACAGGTAGCAATGCGATTTAGCTCAGTTCCGCTCACAATTTTGACGAAGAGCACATCGGGGGGGCCGACAGCTCCAAGAGTCTCTCACCCCTCATCACTACCAGCAACCTCTCGAGAGGACTTTCTGATCGCCGCATATTTAGAGTGCCCTTATGCATTAATTTCATTCCTTCTCTGGGATTCGAACCCGCGCGGTAGTCAAAGACGATAACCACTATACCGGCTGGGCGGCATAGTAAAACATTTCGAAGACAAACCTTCAAATTACATTTTAGAGGTTACAGAACTGGCCATTTAAAGATGCAAAAAAATGTATCAAAAGAGAAGAAAATTATACTGAATATGAATATTTCCTCTATCTACGAGTATTTTAGAAGTACTGGGTGTTTCCTATAGAACGGAACAAAAAGAAAGCATACCTGTGAACGAACGCTACAGTTACTTTATTTTAGTGAATCAAATTTACAGTGAAACTATGGTTATCCAAGTTTCTATAGAGGTTGTATATGTACCCCTCGGGTGACACAACAAATATCTATGCGGTATTCCAGTTCTTTCTATACTCATAGAATAAATATCCTTTGTTAATGATTCGAGCACTTCAGTTATCTGTTGCTTCAGTTGCTCTAAGTCTTAGGGAAATGGAGGCACGAACACTTTGTCTTTACACCACATAGGAAAAATCACAAAGGGTTATATCTGGAGATCTTGGTAGGCAAAACGCAATGGATAAAGCAGGATCATTCCAGCGTTGGTGTAGACTATCGTTCAGATACTGGGGTACGTTTTTATGCCAATATGGTGGAACACCATCTTGCTACAGAATTAAGCCGGAAATCGCTTCCTTCGACTGAGAAAAAATCATTTTGATAACATATCTTGGTAAATGCACCTGTCAATCGATGTTTCCGCAAAGGACAAAGAACATAATTTTTAGAAATTGAGCACAAAGCGTTCAAATTTGGAGAATAACTTTCATGTTCTATAACACCATGTGGATTTTCCGTTCCCTAAAGTCGTAAGTTATGACAATAAAATTTTGCCAGAAACATTAAAAGTGGCTCTATCCGTAAACACAAGTCTGTTCCCGAAACTCTAGGAAATTCCCATAGAAGGCTTTATACAATGGTTTGTCGGAAGGTTTAAAAGCTTGCACCATCTGAAAATTGTATGGCCAGAACTGTAGACGTTTCCATAACAACGCCACATCATTACATGAGGCACACTGAGTTCGGAACTCGCCCGACGCATTGATTTTCTGAGACTTCTTAAAAACGTTTCACGAAATTTTTCAATCACTACGATTGTGGCTGCTCTTCGTCCTGGGCTGGTTTCCTTACATAAGCAGCCCGTGTTCCAAAACTGCTTCACCCAACATTCTTTGTTGTGACGATGTGATGGCTCTTTACCAAGTTTCGTGCGAAAATGTCTTTTGAACGACGATAATCGATGATGTTTTGGCGTATACCAAAACACAGCACCCATTCTGTTGCATAGATGGGGTTCCAGTTTGATCAAAAGTGGCTCTAGCGGCGATTTCGTAACCGGAACATTTTTTACTGTAGCCAGATAAAACTTGTATTATTGTGGTTTCAGAATTAATTAGTTTGGGATTAATAAATCAATTACAGAATTTGTACTATGCTATTCTCTTTATTCTATTCAATATTAAACACCCGTATAATCAGGTCAGAAAATTTTGGATCTACCTACGTACAGTGCCACTGGCTGAATTCCCAATACTCTTTCCCAAATTTGCATTTTTGCACACAAGTTTCACTTCTGCTGGAATTGGCAGAAAAGTAGAAATGCAAGGAGACTCAACAGAAGAAATCTTATGTTAAAATAAAATAAACCTTACCCTAGTGTGCAGAAATAATAGAATATATACTTATTATACATAAGTTGTTTTAAATTACAATGAAGCGTTAACTGGTAACAAATATTAATGCACTGCCTACCTGTCCATCTCCGCAAGATGATCCTTCAGCTGCTGGTCGAAACGAAACGCAATATCCCGAATCATTATCGTAGCAGAAAAGCTGAGCACATACTCGACTGTCTTTCTGTAAATGAGAAATTTTCAAATAAACTTTATCCAATAATCAAGAAATATCTCACAATTCATATTACACAGTTCATGCCTTTTGATAAAAATGCAATCAAAAAACATTTCATAAAAATTTTAATTCATGTTTCTGAAAAATAGATCTGGAATAAAATTTGTCGGTATCGAGAGCAATCAGACATAGAACCCCTTTGGAATCCTTTGGAGAATGATTCTCAAAAATGGGACCGTTGACCATGATGGGTTGATCAAGCGAACAATCACTGCGGTTGGAACCTGTAGATGGTGATGCTCTTGACCATTGAAGGCTAAATGTGAACCAAGCGCAGGTCACTGCCGATAAATGGCGAGAGAATTATAACTGTCCGAGCTGATAATAAGAAGCTGGCAGCAGAATTGAGAGCAGAAAATGTATGCTGGCCTAGTCAGCTTCATGAAATGATGAAAATAATTACGTTGATGTACTACATAGGAACGGAAACTCTGGAAATATATAAGTAGTTTTGGGAACTTACAAACACTAACATACATGCAAAACATTAAAACAGATGCAAACTTTGAAGCTAGAAATTTGTTGTAAAAATAAAAAGTTGAATTTTTCTGTCGCCCAGGCGGGAAAGTGATTATTGACTCTAATTGCCATACTGAAAGGCGACGATGGTCCACGTAGTAGGTTTCTCTATAATAAAGAAACCACCAGTTCCGGCCGCAATAGTGGCCTAATGCCTATAAACGACTAGATCTCATCCATTGAAAACAAATTGAATATTTTTAAATGCAATATGAAAAACTAAATGCACAGTACCTGAGAATACCAACTTATATTTAGGTACACTTATAAGGTTTTTCTCCCGCCTTCTTATCATGCCTTCGAGGTGTAGTGGTCAGAATACTCGGCGCGTATTCGAGAGGTCCGAGGTTCTAATCCCGGAGAGAGCATTGCTCATTTTTAATCTCTCTTGCTTCAAAAATACCTAATTTCTATACACACTCTCGTAAAAACTACGTACAGTATACCGTCACAAGTTACTGTCTAACAAACAATATTGTAATGGATGGGTTCGAGGCTGTTTGAACGGATGTTCGTCCTTTGGATCCCAAATTGGCAATATGGGTATAATTTAAATTCATGATCTGAGTGAAAAAGTAATGAGATCTTGCTAGAATAAAATTTAGAGCACGTTGTGTCTTTAGAAATTCATGAATTTACTGGCTCCTTACAAGCCACGGGGGATTTGTAATCGCTCTCAAAATCTTAATTTTGGAAGACAGAGATTTTCTTTCTGTAGGTTTTTAGTGCTGCTGCTCAAATAGGGACAGCGTTTATGGATTAAAGGTTAAACAAAGTGTTCTTTGTTTGTGAACAAAGTGAAGCCTTGAATTTATGATCAAAGTGAAACAAAGTAAAGCCCTGATTTTAACCTATAGTAATTTTAATTTCCATAAAGACAGCAGCAGCTCGGTTCCAAGCGTGATCAGCTTGTTCTTTGAAGTTTAACTGATCGTGTAGAGAGACATCAAGGTACTTACTCTAATTCACAACTGGGGGGTTTCGGTTGTTGACTCGTATGTTAAGGCTCACGGCTTGGTTTTTTTATACCTTCTAAAGAGGATGACACTTCATTTATCGCGATGAGCAATCGCCATTTTTACTGAAAGCAATGGAGGAGCAAGGCAAAACGAACATGGCGCCATCGATCGAAGAAAATAGTAATGAATCATAAAAAAACTGAGATATTAGAAATCTCAAAGCTTTAAAAGGAAACGGATTGGAATTAACCTCATTAACTAAACAAGATAAGTTTTTGTTGATGAGGAATTCTTGCCAACTCTTTCAAAATTCTAATATTTTCCGTTGTATACGTTTCCTTGACATATGGCGTTGCATTCCTTTTTAACTTTGAACCTTTTATTGCATTCGACATAAAAGGGTTCTCTCTTCTTCCATTCTTCTGAAAATTTGTTTGTTATTTTGCTCCTGAAGACGAGAGACTTTGTATAAACATGAGGCTATTTCTAAGGAAGAGAAATGAGCAATGCCTTCGCCGGGACCCGAACCTCGGACCTCTCGAATACGCTCCAGGCATGCTGACTATTACACGACGAAGTTATGCTAAGTAGGCGGAGAAAATACCTTCTAAGTTCACTCTCAAAATTTGATACAGGTGTTTTTTTTTTTTTTTTCCCCAAAACCTATCGCAAAGTAAGGTTGCTTTTTTGCGTAATTTTAAACCGGCATACTTCTCTTCCAGTTTGAAGAAAATCGGATCCCTGAGAAACATGCAGTTACGGAAAAAAATAAGAGATTATTGTACATTTTAATGGAAAATGTATGCGCTGGGAATTTCTTTTACCAAACACACTACTGGCGCAAATGTTTAATAAAATTATGCGTTTGATGTATTATACATCAGATTAATTCTGCTCTAACATTAATATATAGAAAATATTGCGAATTTAAGATCAGCTTATATTTTAAATTACGTAACCGTCTGTTTATGTTGGTAAACGCAGGGAGCAAATCAAAGGTTTTCTAATTACAAGTTTAATTCCTACTATCTTACGGCATAAATTAACCCGCATTTATTCTTTTGAGTGCTTTCTGTATTCATTTTCCTATGTTCATTAAATACTCTGTAATTTTAAATAAACTCGAGGTTAAACTTCTCTTTTCTCTTTTGTAAAAGGATTCACAATACAATTATGGATCACTTTTCTTGATTTTATATGAAATTTTACTCCTTATTGGAATTTCATTCTATTATAACCTCTTTTTAATATTTAATTTTTCTGCTTAAAAACATAAGTTTATCAAAGCCTGGATATATTGTTCTTACATTTTGCTTTTAAAAAATTGTTCTAATTCTCTAATCAGGGCCAGCTCCAGGCAAAGAAGACTTTTACAGGTGTCAAGGCCGTAGACATTAGGAAGATGCCATCTATGTAAGCTAGAAGTTCATAAAGTCATATTTCATTTGAATTATTAACGCATCTTAAGTATAACGTGCGTCAATTTTTCTGATCACTTACAGCATCGAAAATATCGGAGCCATGTCTGATTTTGTTGTATTATACTCTAAATTCGAGACCTGGAGTTAATACTAATCATTTCTCCCCCACTTGCAGGTTTCTGTTTTTTTATTTCTTTTAATATTCAAGCGAATATTATTCATTTTTAATTTTTTTTTTTTTTTTCTAATTTAGCTCTTTATTGATCTATAAGTTAAGAAGTTACTTTTGCATTTGTAATCACTTTCTTCCTGTATATGCATGTGTGTTTGTGTATGTGGGTGTGTAGTGTAGTATTTAACACCGATAATTAAATAAGTGTAATTAATTTAACTGTCTTTTTTAAGAAGAAAATTTTCCTGACCAGTTGATAAGTATGGAATTAATAATCCCTTGAATGAAATTACTATGTATATGAAATGACTTGAAATTATCACTTGAATATTCTGGTTTAAGCTTTTAATGTATGTCGATAAAGAAATTTGTTTTCAAATGCATACATTTGTTTTTATGATTTAGGTAATCATGTTGTCATTTTAAAAGCAATAGAAATCCCCTAAATTAATGGTTGTTATTTTTAATAGTAGATGACAACACCATCTACTTTAAGAGCGGAAATAAATTTTAATGACAAATTGACGAATTAAAAATATTTAAAAATACTCCATACTAGAAAATTTAAAAATATTTAAAATCCTAATGAAAATTTATGCGAATATATAAGACTTTATTCATTAAATTTAATTTTACGCATAGATGTCACTTTAAAAACATTTAGAATGCTAGAGATTTGTAATTACAATATTTGCTCATAGATGGCAGCACCAAAACGCCTCTAATTTTGCGTTTCGGTAGTCTAGTTAAACTGCAAAAACAACCAATTTGAAAGAACTGCTGCACAAAAATTATGACTTAAAAAAAAATTCTGTAAATAATGTTTTAATATTCGAATTTAGTACTATATACTTTTTTTATAAAAACCTTTTATTATATTCCAAAACATATCATAAACATTATTAAAAATTAAATTTTCTTGTAGAATTAGTGTCTTTTTGTAATATTTTCTATCTGCGAGCAAACTTTTATTTTTGTTCTGCATTTAACAATAAAATTAGCCTTTCCTTTATGAAATTTAAGGAAGCATTTCTCTAAAAGAGATTTTCCAGTACTGCATTTTTATTTACTCGACTTTTATAATGTCACAGAAATATTTGAAAATTAAAAAAATAAGTGGTTTAGAGCTTATGAATTACGAGCTGAGATATGAAATTAAATCTAATTACTTGTTAACTACTGCTAGTGTAATCTTCCTAAACTAAAAGTCTAGAACTCTAAGAAAGATAGTTAGGCGATTAAAATAAAATGAGAGCTTATTAATGCTGTGACTCATAAAAAATTACATCTAAAATTTAATGAAACTTACTCACCGTTATCTACTAGATCTTGGAATACAAAAAAAAAAAAAAAAAAAAAAAACTTAAATATGTATAGAAATTATTCTCGTTCTTAATTATAATCTCTAGAGTGGTGGTAAGGCTGACGAAAGAAGAAGTAATATGAAAAAAATTAACGAAAAAAAAAAAAAAAAAAAGGGGGGGTGACTTGAACATAATGTGTTAAACTAAAAGCCAAATTCGCTCAGTAATACCTTCTCATAGTAATCCCATGACCCCAAATATGCATCCGTAGGGGATTTTTGAATGATGCTTCATTGTATATGCAATGATTTTATAGAAAACAATACGAGAAATTATTGGTTTGCCATCTAATGAGACTGTAGGTATTACTATATTGTAAACTACAATGATCTTTAACTACTTTTATCTTAAGAATTAAGCTTAAACGATAAGAACAGGTAAAAATACGAAATAATTAATAATAAAGCAGAAGTATTTATTTGTTGGGTTATTTTAGAAAGCCCCTTAACAGCTAATGTGTATTGCAAATAGATTTTTGCAAAAGTCTTCGGAGTAAAGTCTGCAGATTGAATACTTACGAAACATGCTTGAGTTCCTCTGTCTCTTTCGCACTGTTCGTCCAGCGTAAGCATCGTTCCTGGTAATTCTCTAGCCAGCAATTTATTGTCATCCGGGTAGTTAAAGAGACAGGATGCTGTTTCACCGCTGTGAACAAACAATGCACAGCATATCATTATTATTTATGAAGCTTACAATGTGACATTATTTAAAAGATATCTGAATATTTCATTTTTATCCAAACTTCTTTTGGATTACACCTGTATTCACATATGTATTAATTAACAATGATTATCGAGAATTCATTATTTTGCATTTTGATTGATAATAAAAACTACACTTTTGAATAGCTATTTTCTATTTTTATAATTGTCATAAGAAACTGTCTGTTCTAGAAGAAGCACAACTTCTAAAATGATTCCAGAAGGAATGGTGGGATTTTATGAAGTCTGAGTGAAATAGGTATTATGTGATATAGCAAAGTCTTATTTAATTCAAGCACTCAGAAATGTCATGCACGTGTGTTTTTCAATACGCAAAGACTCGGTTTTTATATGAAGACATTCTAGATTTCTCCACAATGAGTACGTGGTATGACCTAACGAGTAATGAGACGTCTTGTTTTTTCTTTGTCAAAATTTGAGTAACAATTTCAGTTGTTACATAAATGTTAACAAAGAGTTCAACTGTATAGATAGAAATGTTACAGATCTTTTTACTTCTTCAAATGTAGCAAAAGGGAAATATAAGATGCTGATTTGCAAATCAGTCTTCAACAATATGAAGCACTGTCACGCTTTGCGAATCTTGCTCGAGCCGAGCTGAATCGTCGATTTTCAAGACGGTTGATTGGCCGAAATGGATCTGTCACATGGTCTACAAGAAATCCCGATCTTACCCCTCCTATATGATTTCTTCTGTGACTTTATCAGAAGTAAGGCTTATTAGGAAAGAAGGAATCATCTTGTTCACTTCAATGGCAGAATCCCTTAGCAATTAAAAGCTTAGAGTATGAATTAAATGTTAATATCACTAAAACGACAGTCATACTATAATGATGCTTATATTTAAATTTATTAACTTGTTCTTAATCTTTTTGTATCGTTAAATTAAATAAAAAACATTTTCAATTTATTTCACAATTGACATGATTCACAGAGACTTCATGAAGTCCCCTCATTTTTCTCGGAGACTCAGTATATTACTTTTTCTATCAGAAATAACAATGCGGAAACAAATATGTCTCAAGACTTACTTCAGAAAGTGTTTAAATTGTTCAACGCTACATGACGACCATCGGAATCCACGGTCTGTGTGCCTCAAATCGCTCATGATGAAACCATCTTCCCAGGGGCAGCGGCTGGCTCCGGGTCCTCCAAGGTAGCTTGGAGGAGGAGAACCATCATGAACACATCCCAGGCTGCATTATGAAAAACAAAAGTATAACTATTCGAATAGTACCTCTAAACTAATACGCGTTTTACGAAAGGAAAAAATAAAGATTTAATGCGTGAAGATAGAAAACCGAAAATGACATTTGAATGATGCAGAAACAAGCCTTAAACAAAATCTGATTACCACGTAATCCGGCGCTTATAGCGCTCATCTCCCCAGATTGTATGGGACTCCAAAGTCATCTTATAATTCCTCATAATCTTGTTTTTCCCACATAAATTCTAAGAAAGCTGAAGCTGACGTCCTCTGAAAGAATATTATACCCAGAGCCCCGACTGTTTCAATCAAGCCATAATTTTAAGTAATATATCTACAGGGTAAGGTATTTAATGTTACTAAATACACATTTAATGTTACTTTAAGTAGTATAAGACAAATATTCTGTGCGACAGTAAACACAAATGAATGAAGTTAACTAACTAAGTATCTCGAATTAACAAAGGAGACTTCTGTTTTTCAATAAAATGTCTTTTCATAACAATCAAGGCACTGATACCATCTCTCAAGTATACTTTATATGATAAGACATAACGCTTATTTATTGTTTCGTATGGAAGTAGTTATATTTCTCCTCTGTGACATTTTATGTTTTTATATTAGCATTTTTCCTTCATACTTCTACGATCTCTTTGATATTTCGAATGCAAGTAGTTTTCGTTTTTCTTCCTCTGCGAAGAACGAGAGTATTGCTAATTATTACCAAACCATCAGACTATGAGCCTCAAATAACTTCTTGACCATCCTCAAATAGCTAATCCTAGATTACATGAGCATACTTACAGATGACCGACTTCATGAGCTGCTACAATTATGCCACTAAATCCTCCACTATCTTCAATGATGGCAACACTATTCACTTTTTCCAGTCTCTTATTTACTACGCATGCTCCACCAACGTACGCAAAACCTGCAAAGGAAATAACTTTTATGCAAAGTACTGGTTCTGTTAAGTCTAACATGTGTGTAGGTCACTTAGCAATTTTCGTTTTAAGACTAATATATCAAAAAGTGCCAAGTACCAGCAGTTCCTCTGCTGCATCGTCCACCTCCAAATTGTTTCCTGCACATATCTAATTTCGTCATGACGACGGCCATGTCGTAAGCGGGCAGTCGGTCCTCGAGATACAAGTACTTGCCCATGTCCGTCAGCGCAGCAGCAGCGTCGATTGCGTCCCGATTGGGACTAGGAAGACGATTGCGCTCCAAGTAAGGTGTTGCATCTTTGCTCTGTAATGAAACAGAAATATTAAAGAAAAAGTATCATTAAAATAGGATAAAGTATCTATAAAGTATCATTTTAAAAATGTTATATAGGTTCCATTATGAAGAATTTAGACTTCTAAATAACTTTATAGGTAATCCTCTATAAAAGTACTTTTCTATAAAATTCTACAGAAATTTTATAGTTTTCGAAGAATAGAATTGTATGAAAAATTACAAAATTATACAGAAATTTTATGAAACCTTTATAGAATAGTATTGTATAGAAATCTAAGAAGTTTTCAAACTATAGTCAAAGCACATTTTTAGACATGCTGTATGAGATACAGAAGATGAAAAATAAACACCTTTTATTTATAAATATTGAACCCTTACGAAAATATTTGTCTTCCCCTCCCCCTAACAAATTGCGGAAGAAAATAAAAAGAATAATATACGTACGACATTGATACTTACAGATATTAGAAATGCATCTAATGAAATTTGGTGCCCAGCATAAAGTCGAATCTATTCAGACTAAAATGTCCAATAAATTTGAATAAAAATACTTCCAGTTACTTAGAAAATCGAAAAACAATATATAGTAGAGCCGGAATAATACAGAGAAAAGATATAATAAAAGCGCATCCCAAGGATCTGCCCGGGTCCTACTTTATGGAATTTGATTGCAGATACAATATTGAAACTAAACATTTGACAAAGAAATAAAGCTACAAACTTCTGTTGATGATTTTGCTTTACTTATTTCAGGAGGAAGCAAATTAGTAATAGAGGACAGAGCGAGAAAGGCTTTGGATGTTTTCTTCAAATGGAGTGAAGAAAACAAGTTGGAATTAGTGAAGATAAAATATCCATGATAGCCTTTCTACAGAAGTCGACGTTAGACCGTCTGCCTATAGTATCATGAAAATACAGGAATATTATTAGTAAAGAAACTATAAAGTAGTTGCGAATAATTATGAATGCAAACCTTAGCTGGATTCCACATTTGAAAATGTTAAATTAAAGGTTCATAAAATTGTTAGTAAATTAAACATATTGCTTAATGAAGATAATTATAAATACAAAAATACTTAAAGAGTTGTATAAAAGATGAATAGAAAGTATTAATTTATATGATGCACCCGTGAGGTGGAACAGAAAAGAAAACGCAGGAGTTAAATTGTAACAGATTCAAAGACTAGCACTGGTGTCTGTCAGTGGTTGTTACAAGACAATATCAATAACAAGATACAAGTCTTAGCCAGAGTTATTCGCCTTGATTTAAAGGCAGAATTAGAAGCTCAAACTTATTTGACACAACTTATGGAAAAAGATGCAATTTATGATGATTTAATACTCAGTCACGAAAATATTAACGTAAAAGAAGATAAATATTATTATCATCCTGCAAAAATAAAGAATAGTTGTTATATGGGAAAGAAATATTCCATAAGGACGTGACTTAGACATTTTTAACGAAAAATTAGGAGCTCCTTGTGGTTTATTATAATGAACGGAAATGTGAAGATGCGGGTTACAGACTTAATGAAAAAAGTACAGTTTTTGAGGCTGAATTATCGTCATTTGAAAAAACGTTAGAATGAGCTGATACATGGATAAAAGAAAATGACCTATTAAAATATTCTATTTCAGTTTATACCGATTCTCAGCGTGTGCTGAAAGCCTTAAATTCCAGAAAATGTCTAAAAATAAGAAAAAAACTGTAAAATTTATAGTAAAACATAACTTGAAAATTAATTGGATTAAAGGTCCCACAGAAGTGTTGGGAAATGAAGCTGCAAATATTACTGCAAAGGAAGCAACTAAAAAGATAGTATAGGTATTTTCTCCACCATTTCAATAGAATATGGGAAAAAGTTATTGCAAAAACAAATAATGAAAGAATGGTAAAACCGATGGGAAAATAATAATACTGGAAGAAAGGTCTTTAGGATTTTTTCTGGATTAAAGAAAACAAGACTCTTTGGTGATAAAAGAATAAATCAAGCACTAACAGGTCATGGACAATGTCCAGAATATTCAAAGAGATTTCACAGAAAGAAAACAAAATGCAAATGTCAATGTGAAGCACAGAATGCAGACTTTATACTCTATTTGAGTGAATGCATGCAGACTGTCTCTCTCGGAGAACAATAGTTTTAAAATATTTCAAGGAAAAAAATATCCAGATTAGGAATTACAAAAATTGTAAATAATGTAATCAGATATAAATACTTTGATATAGATTAATTAAGTAGTAATTTTAAGATTTTAACTAAATTGAATTATGTATTTGTGACTGTTCATGTAATTTTAAACAGACTGATTATGCAATAAGCAGTAATTAATTCTAATTATTCTAATTAAACCTAATTATGTCGAGGTGACCCTGCTGGCGAGGCGATGCAATCTTCCTCGGAGGATGAGTTAAGGGCAAGCCACCCAGTATCTTAATTTTGCTAGTTTGTTTAATACTTTCTTTCTATTTTAATTTTACCGGTTTCCCACATTTGGTGGTACGGTTTGTTTGGTTAGGTTTATGTTTCCCCCCTCTAGCTTACTATTTCATAGCTTCTAAATTTACGGAACATTTTACGAAATGTTTTCCTTATATGATATAAAAATTAAAACTTTCAAAATCATAAAATCAGTTTAAATCATAAAGTTGATTAAAAGACTAATTTTATGTAGTTAATTTAAAATGCAAATTTCCTGAAACTAGTGATTTCATCATTGTATATACCCCTAATCAGAGAAAAGTTTCCTTAATTTTAACTAAACTTTAGGTTGAAATGTATTTAATTTCAGTTTAAATATTTTTTAATCAAAACAATATTAGAATTTTTTATTAGGAAATAAATCTTATCTCTCCTGAAAACTTTTATATGCCCTCCATGCCACAGGTCATTTGAAAATTTAGGTTAAAAATTTCTATAAAAATGAGTGTTTAATTCAATTTTTTAATCCCAAAGAGTGATTGTATACACATTATAGTAGAACATTTAAAACCAACAGAATTTCAACACAAATCTCTATCACACATATATCTTATACATATCTTTAAAGAATCTCTTTACATAACCTCTGTACAAGCTAAATCTGAAATTTTATAGAAAATCGGATATCTAAAGTATTTTAAAGACGTTTAACCTTCATTTAGTTTATTTCATTACGGCAAAGCACACGAGGACCATCTGCCTATGTTGAGGGATGCCTTCTCGAGGGACTTCCTATAGGAAACTGGCTCATATTCACATTACACATGAGGAGAACCACGAAAACGCCCATGCAGCCGGCCCGTTTACCTGGAGTTTTGGTTGTTCGATTTGATTACGCAAAGCATACGATGGTTAACTTCCTTTTGGGATGAATGCCTTCATGAAGGATTTTCTATGGGACACTGGCTCTATGCACATTCCGCATGGGGAAAACTACGGATACGTCCTGTAACAGCTTTACATATTATTAAAATCTTATAGTTTAAATAATTTAAATAGATGAACATTAAGGTATTTGTGAATGGCAATATTTGAAACCAGACTCGAGTGCCACGTGCGACTCTCGCACGAAGAATGTAATTTATTTTTAAATGTTAGAATTCTTTCCTTCTTGTTTTGCATGTCGCCATTTGAGTGTTAAATAAAGTTTTTTCTGTGTTCCATTATTGGAGTTGCTTCATATCGTCAAAGAAGTATCACAGTCATAATTATTTTGGAGGCACAGACCGAGATCGAATAATCGTGCGTATTTTTATTTTATTAGTTCATCACTGAACATAATATTAGTGATACCAGATTATTACTTCCTGTTAATATTGAATTGCTTTATTTTATTAGTTCATCACTGAACGCAATATTAGTGACATCAGATTATTACTTCCTGTTAATATTGAATTGTCTTATTTTATTACCGTTTTGGATATTATTTTTAATATTCATTTTAGTTGTCCAGACAGTAGATATATATATTGCTCTCTATGTTGTTATTCTTATTTTAGTCACAATTAATGTGGTAGAGAGAATTAACTTCATATAATTTTAATATTTCATTTTTGAGGTATACGTATTTAACAGAGTGCATTTAATTCCATGATTCCTGACTGCATTATTTAATTAAAGTAATTGAATTGACCTATTTTGAGGAAATATAAAGAACACAGTGTTCATTAATTTCAAACATAGAAACAATGTCTTACTTAGGAAGAGCTCGTAAGGAAGATTTGCAAAATCTCGCGGCTGAACTGGGAGTTCATGTGACTGCAGATTTGAAAATAGTCGATTTAAAACAGAAAATTGTTGAAAGTAGAGATTATGGTGAAGTATTCGTCAAAGGAGTCTTAGACACAATAATAGAAGAACGGAAAGAGAGGGAGGAAACAGAAGAACGGAAAGAGAGGGAGGAAAGGGAAAGAGAAGAACGGAAAGAGGAAAGGGAAAGAGAAGAACGTAGGAGACAGGAAGAAGCAGAAGAGCGGAGAAGCAACGAACAGTATGAATTAGAGAGATTAAGACTTGAAGAAGAGACAAAGTCTCAAAATACCGGAAAGACCCGGCCGAAAACGGAGCTGCGTCACCTTATGCAGAAATTCGATGACAAGATAGGAGATATCAGTCTATATTTGCTATTGTTTGAGAGGCAAGCAGAATGGGCTAAAATTGATAAAGAAGAATTTGTATCTCATTTACTAGGACTACTTCCTTACGAAGTAACCCAGTTAATAGCTAGAGAACCCTCCGATAAAGCTAAAGACTATGAACACGTGAAGAGTTTATTGTTAAGATGGTTTAAACTAAGCCCAGAAAAGTTTAGGCAGAAATTTATGAAACATCAAAAGAGTACCGAATCCACATGGGTGGATTTCAATTATGAAATAGAAAATTATTGCAAGGAATGGGTGACTGGTCTAGGAGTTAAGACTTTTGATCAGTTGCTAGATTTGATGGTGATTGACCAACTTAAACGTCGAGTTCCTCCTGAAATTCGAGATCATTTTCTTAATGAGTGGGTACAGATGATTTCATCTA